AGCTTTTTCCAATCTGGGTATTTTACCCATGGTGTCTGTTATAAATGGGTACAACTGATCTTCAGTGGGAACTCAATTTTAGGTGTGAACAGTACAATCTTACCAAAGATTTTTGTAGTTTTGTTCTTGTATATATTATACACATCCTCTTTAAACACCTTGTAAATTCATTTCACAAATCCCTGTTGTCAATGTGTTTTTTTTCAAAATTGTAAATATGACATATGTAACTTCCGGGAGAGGGCGTTCCTAAGTTGGATAACTTGTGCCCAATCCATTTCATTTTCGAATAAAATATGTTTAAAACAACGGTACACTCTTACCAAAGTCCAGTACGTATTGCTGTTGCCGAGCTCTAGATTAGCTTTTTACCCATGGTGTCTGTTATAAATGGGTACTACTGATCTTCAGTGGGAACTCAATTTTTCCGATACCCAACCCCTGTTTTAAAATGTGGGTATTTTCTATGTCAGTAATTTAAAAAATGTTAAAAAAGATAACTGTAGCCAATGGTTTGTACTTCCGACATTAACATGGTCGTTGTTTAATGAGAAATACATCCACATTGTGTCTGATCAGGTTAGACATCTGAACACTGGGTGTACCATCACGAGCCCACTCAAGTGACAAACCTATCTTTGCCGGCCGTCTCATTTCATCAGATTAGCTGTGTTTGCGTGATTGTTTCTTTCTGTAGGTTAAATTCAATCGATAATCTACCCAGATTTTTTACAGTTAGTCAGCTTTCTGTTAGTATTTGATTATTTTTATTTCTAAGTCAGGGTCTGCAAGTCAACAACTAACCAAAGCGTTTCTGTAATTTTCCTTTTAATTTGAGACGCTATAGATATATTTCAGTGCATAGTTTGGACATATCAATGCATATTTTACGCAGATGCTCAACTTATCTAGACTTCTAGAGATTTTGGTCTGTTTCGGTATATGAGATATGATCATAATGCAGAAAATTGACAACAAGAGCCAAGCCTTACATTGTTTAATAACGACGGGAAAAAATAACCTTAATCTTTGTTATTTTGAATGAACAAGGCCAAATTTTTGGATTGCATTACGGTACACCAAACCGAAGGCAAAATATGGCACACCAAACCGAAGGTTCTACTACAACCACGGTATACCGTTTCACCCCTAGTGCAGGTTACTGTGAGTAACAGTTTTCACCTGGTGTAGGTAACAGTAAATCTTCCAACATCTGATAGCTGTCATGTGTTTCAATTGGGAAGTAAGTGACTGGAAATGATGTTTCTCTCCTCAAGACTTGTTACAAGCATAAACGTTTGTGTAGTCATAAATCAGTAGTGTAGCTGTAATCATATAATTGAGATTACAAATGAATTAATGCAAAATTGAAACAGAACCATTCATCATTTATCATCATGGGGTCGGGTTCTGCAAAACAACATCAGCAAACGAATAACGTTGATATGGGGTTCAGGGGTTCAAAAATCCCATCGCCCGACGCCCGGGACAAGTCAGTTTTCATTTCGGGCAATCAAATAATGGTATCTTACTTGTCTGTGGCCTACTAGATAATTTCAACTTATGGTTTCAAACTGCAAATACACTTTGATTTAATTTCATATCAGCTCAAAATGTAGCTATTAAATTTCGCAATGATAATAAAGTAGAGTTATCTTTCTTTGCTATTTATCACTTTTCAATAAATAGTCCAGTAAACATTAACATCAAATACCATGTTGATTTCTTCTTTCCTAATTACGTCATCATAATTATGTCATAAAATCAGGACAAGTGGAAAATTAGTCAGGACAAGTTACTTTCTTAAAGTCTTAAAGTGGCTTTTTAAATTTTTTTTTGAACGCCTGGGGTGTTGCGATACTTTTCGCCTTGTCTGTTGTTGACATTTTAGATTACAATGAAATCAGCTACCAAATCAGATTTGGTTTGGTTTGGTTGTTGTTTAACACTGCACTCGGCAATATTCCAGCTATATGGCGGCGGTCTGTAAATAATGGTGTCTGGACAAAACAATCCAGTGATCAACAGCATGAGCATCGATCTACACAATTGGGATACAATGACATGTGTCAACCATGTCAGCGAGCCTGACTACGTGATCCTGTTAGTCGCCGCTTACAACAAGCATGGGTTACTGAAGATCAATTCTAACCCGGAGCTTCCCGGGTCATTAGAATGAAAACAGCCACTGATTGTCAGAGCTTGTTGAGTGTAGTTCACATCACCAGATTGATGTAGTCACTAAAATGTCACTTAAATATGTACTATAATGTAGTGTTGGTTATCATTCTCAATATGGAGATCGATAATCAGAGCTCAGTAATCGATCAACAACCGGAAGATGAATTGTAATTGTACACCTAACCACAAAACTCATGTTGGCAGTAACAGGACACAATCATAACATATTGTTGATGAAACAAATCGATTGATCAATAGATCAATCACTCCAGCACGATAAATGTGTTGAAAAACTGAATGCTATAAATATGCAATATGTATGCAGTTAACAGTTTGATTATTTTGAATGATTCAATGAGTTCACTTGTCATCCTGATGACACATATTATGAATTATTTGCATCCATTCTCGATTGATAAGCAGGAAGGCGGCAGTATTTTGTGTCCAGTTTAACACAGGACATTATGTTTCTGCTGCAGTGATGTTCATTAGATTTTAAGCTGTTATAATAATAAATAATAATAATGAGAAGTCTTTTAATGCACTAATCTCCACCCAACAAAGCATGCTCAAAGCGCTAACACCCTGATTATTATTACCCCGGATAACCCAAGCTGCCTGTTAGGCGCTAGAAGGTTATAGTCACATGACTTTGTCAAACCGGGTACCCATTTTCTGCTGGGTGAACAGAGGCAATTTTTGAATAAACTCACTGTAATCTGTTGTTGTGTACAGATCAATATCTGTTGGTGTTTACAGATCAATATCTGTTTATGTTTACAGATCAATATCTGTTGATGTTTACAGATCGATATCTGTTGTTGTGTACAGATCAATATCTGTTGTGTACAGATCAATATCTGATGTGTACAGATCAATATCTGTTGATGTTTACAGATCAATATCTGTTGTGTACAGATCAATATCTGATGTGTACAGATCAATATCTGTTGATGTTTGCAGATCAATATCTGTTGATGTTTACAGATCAATATCTGTTGTGTACAGATCAATATCTGTTGATGTTTACAGATCAATATCTGTTGTGTACAGATCAATATCTGTTGATGTTTACAGATCAATATATGTTGTGTACAGATCAATATCTGTTGATGTTTACAGATCAATATCTGTTGTTGTGTACAGATCAATATCTGTTGATGTTTACAGATCAATATCTGTTGTTGTGTACAGATCAATATCTGTTGATGATTTCAATTTGTCGACAAACAAAATATTCTGTGTCCATCCTGGATGCAAGCTTGATCCGCATACAGACCAAACTGGCAGGACATTGGGAGAAGGTCAAGAACATGATTGAAATCACTGTGCCCTGCCACCTAGAGTGTCCAACAATCCAAGCTTTAGGATGTTTCCGTGTCACCCCTCCCAGGAGCGTGACCACTGGAAAAAATATTACCCGCTGCCACGGTAACAGCCAAGCTCTCTACCGAGAAGCTGTGTTGCTAACAACTGAATGACGTCATAATATGACGCATGCCGTGTCCGGAGTTTGAAATCCATTCGATCAGCTGTTTTTACGTTCACTTTGTACAGATCAGAATATGTTTCACTGATTTTGCATGATTCTCCCTCGGGTAATACAGTCTGATGAGACCATATTACATTTGAGAGAAGCATACAACTTATAATGTTTACAGATTGATATCTGTTGTTTACACATCAATATATGTTGGTGTTTACAGATCAATATCTGTTGATGTTTACAGATCAATAACTGTTGATATTTACAGAACAATAACTGTTTATGTTTACAGATCAATATCTGTTGTTGTGTACAGATCAATAACTGTTGATGTTTACAGATCAATATCTATTGACGTTTACAGATCAATATCTGTTGATGTTTACAGATCAATAACTGTTGATGTTTACAGATCAATAACTGTTGATATTTGCAGATCAATAACTGTTTATGTTTACAGATCAATATCTGTTGTGGTGTACAGATCAATATCTGTTGATGTTTACAGATCAATATCTGTTGTGTTACTGATCAATATCTGTTGATGTTAACACATCAATATCTGTTGTTGTGTACAGATCAATATCTGTTGTTGTGTACAGATCAATATCTGTTCTGTTTACACATCAATATCTGTTGATGTTTACAGATCGATATATGTTGATGTTTACAAATCGATATCTGTTGATGTTTACAGATCAATATCTGTTGGTGTTTACAGATCGATATCTGTTGTGTACAGATCGATATCTGTTGTGTACAGATCGATATCTGTTGATGTTTACAGATCGATATCTGTTGGTGTTTACAGATCAATATCTGTCGATGTTTACAGATCAATATCTGTTGATGTTTACAGATCGATATTTGCTATTATCTTACCTTCATGCAAAATACTTTAATTTCATTGGTCAATGACGCTTTAGGATGTTTCCGTGTCACCCCTCCCAGGAGTGTGACCACTGGAAAAAATATTACCCGCTGCCACGGTAACCGCCAAGCTCTCTGCCGAGAAGCTGTGTTGCTAACAACTGAATGACGTCATAATATGACGCATGCCGTGTCCGGAGTTTGAAATCCATTCGATCAGCTGTTTTTACGTTCACTTTGTACAGATCAGAATATGTTTCACTGATTTTGCATGATTCTCACTCGGGTAATACAGTCTGATGAGACCATATTATCTTCGAGAGAAGCATACAACTTATATTTACAGATTGATATCTGTTGATGTTTTCAGATCGATATCTGTTGTTTACACTTCAATGTCTGTTGGTGTTTACAGATCAATATATGTTGATGTTTACAAATCGATGTCTGTTGATGTTTACAGATCGATGTGACCTGATGGAGACGTTAACGAGACAAGTTACCATGGTTTCTCTCTTTCTACTGGTCTGCTTCGTCTCCATCTTTGTCAGTGGTAAGAATTTCTCAACGTCATGAGGCATTTCATAGTTCTCTGTTCAATTCAGGCGGTATGGTAGCCTAATGGTTAAAGCGTTCGCTTGTCACGCTGAAGACCCGGGTTCAATTCCCTACAGTACATGGTTACACTGTCTCAAGCCCATTTCTGGTGTCACTTGCCCTGATATTGCTGAAAATATTGCTAAAAGCAGCATAAAACTAAACTCACTCTCTGTTCAATTCCCTCCCCTTAGTCACGCCAGGATCTGCTGACTGGTGGTACAGACCCTGATTCTGATCTGTGGTTGTCAGCACCATGCTGGTGTCTGTGGGTTCACCCAGCATAACATTAACAAAATTACAAGCTGATCACTTCAAGGGGCTTCAGAGTGTCAGCTTCATCCCCACCTAAATAGGAAATGTAGGATGTATTCATCTCCTGGGTTATACAGGGAAATATGACATGGATCAATAGATCCTGTTCAGTTTGGCCTGGCCTTGGTGTTGTTTTCCTGATCAAATCAACCCTAGTTTTTTTCCAGTTAGATTGTTTGATAGGCTATTGTTGAACACTGCACTCAGCAATATTCCAGCTCTATGGCAGTGTCTCTATATGATCAAGCCTGGGGTCCAGTGATCAACAGCATGAGCATCCATCTACATAAATTGGATATGATGACGTGTCAACCAAGTCAGCGAGTCCCATCTCCTGATTCCGTCAGTCGTCTCTTACGACAAGTGTGGGTTGCTGAAGATCAACTCAATCATGGGTCTTCGTAGGTTTGTTCCTAATAGAATTCCAACTGATATGACCTCCAGTTGAATTGATAGGGGTGTCAGATCTTCAGGCACATTGAGCATGCGTGAAGGTTGTAATTTTAATATATTTTTCCCCCGTAATCTTTACAAGTTCAGATTATGACAAGGGTTCTCGGATTTCATGTTTGGTAGTCATGGTAACAGAATGCTTGCTTTTCTCAACAGATGCAGCAGAAACCAGTACATCATGCCCTGAAGTAGGCTGCTTTGGACGGCCAGTCAACATCACCTGTGACATAACTGGCCAATACGAGTCTATCGGGTTTTCGCGGCGAGATAATATTGAAGTAGTAACATGCCTGAAGAATAAAGATGAATGCTATGTTAATACTCAAGGTTATGAGGTGGTGTTTCGCTCAGATGACAAACATATTATGCGCATAAAGAGTCTGAATAAGACAGATGTTGGAACGTGGAATTGTCGTGATGAAACAAACCCACTCTTGAAGACTTGTCGCATCGAAGGATATGGTAATGTTCTCATGGATAACTTTATTCTTACAAAACTTTCATCTCTATTACATGATTCCCATTCGACCAGAATTGTGACAGGAATCACACAAACTGGAACAGATTTATAACAGAATTCTTTTAGTGTCAGAGATGATGTCAGAGATTGATTGTGGGAGGGTTAACCGGAATTGTGACAGGAATCACACAAAACGGAACAGATTTATAACAGAATTCTTTTAGTGTCAGAGATGATTGTAGGAGGGTTAACCAGAATTGTGACAGGAATCACACAAAACGGAACAGATTTATAACAGAATTCTTTTAGTGTCAGAGATGATTTGTGGGAGGGTTAACCAGAATTGTGACAGGAATCATACGAAATGGAACAGATTTATAACAGAATTCTTTTAGTGTCAGAGATGATTGTTGGAGGGTTAACCAGAATTGTGACAGGAATCACACAAAACGGAACAGATTTATAACAGAATTCTTTTAGTGTCAGAGGTTGTGATTGTGGGAGGGTTAACCAGAATTGTGACAGGAATCATACGAAATGGAACAGATTTATAACAGAATTCTTTTAATGTCAGAGATGATTGTTGGAGGGTTAACCAGAATTGTGACAGGAATCATACAAAACGGAACAGATTTATAACATAATTCTTTTAGTGTCAGAGATGATTGTGGGAGGGTTAACCAGAATTGTGACAGGAATCACACAAAACGGAACAGATTTATAACAGAATTCTTTTAGTGTCAGAGATGATTGTGGGAGGGTTAACCAGAATTGTGACAGGAATCACACAAAACGGAACAGATTTGTAACAGAATTCTTTTAGTGTCAGAGATGATTGTGGGAGTGTTAACCAGAATTGTGACAGGAATCACACAAAACAGAACAGATTTGTAACATAATTCTTTTAGTGTCAGAGATGATTGTGGGAGTGTTAACCAGAATTGTGACAGGAATCACACAAAACGGAACAGATTTATAACAGAATTCTTTTAGTGTCAGAGATGATTGTGGGAGGGTTTACAGGTTAACCTTGTTGCATCTCACAGGCAACTACCGTCTCTAGTCACAAGGTGGCTGGGTAGCCTAGTAGTTAAAGCAGTTGATGGTCATGCCAAATACCTCAGTTCAAATCCCCACTTTGGTACAATGTGTGAAGCCCATTTCTGGATTCCCCTGCTGTGATATTGCTGAAATATTGCTACAAGCAGCATGATATCTTACTCACTCACTCTAAGATCACATGACATGGTGACTTAACTTCCTTTAGCCTCTAGGTAGTAACAGAGACTAAGGTGTGTGTGTGTTTAGTGTTACTTATAGCTGTGAATATATTTCTGGAAATGTTCTTTGTTCAGTTTGATTTTTGCTACTTTCAGATGTAAGACAGTCTCCAAATACTGCACGTCCGCCGCCTGGCTCAGACTGCATCAACATCAAGGGAAATTTCCGTCCGCAAACATTATGTACATGTTTTCAAGAGGATCCAAATGTCAACATTACCATCAAGGTGAGACAAATTATGTCTGTCAAATATACATATTTATCAAAGAGTCAGATATGCTGTTCTTGTGTTGGACCAAATGTCAACATTACCATCAGGGTGAGACAAATTATGTCTGTCAAATATACATATTTATCAAAGAGTCAGATATGCTGTTCTTGTGTTGGACCAAATGTCAACATTACCATCAGGGTGAGACAAATTATGTCTGTCAAATATACATATTTATCAAAGAGTCAGATATGCTGTTCTTGTGTTGGACCAAATGTCAACATTACCATCAGGGTGAGACAAATTATGTCTGTCAAATATACATATTTATCAAAGAGTCAGATATGCTGTTCTTGTGTTGGACCAAATGTCAACATTACTATCAGGGTGAGACAAATTATGTCTGTCAAATATACATATTTATCAAAGAGTCAGATATGCTGTTCTTGTGTTGGACCAAATGTCAACATTACCATCAGGGTGAGACAAATTATGTCTGTCAAATATACATATTTATCAAAGAGTCAGATATGCTGTTCTTGTGTTGGACCAAATGTCAACATTACTATCAGGGTGAGACAAATTATGTCTGTCAAATATACATATTTATCAAAGAGTCAGATATGCTGTTCTTGTGTTGGACCAAATGTCAACATTACTATCAGGGTGAGACAAATTATGTCTGTCAAATATACATATTTATCAAAGAGTCAGATATGCTGTTCTTGTGTTGGACCAAATGTCAACATTACTATCAGGGTGAGACAAATTATGTCTGTCAAATATACATATTTATCAAAGAGTCAGATATGCTGTTCTTGTGTTGGACCAAATGTCAACATTACTATCAGGGTGAGACAAATTATGTCTATCAAATATACATATTTATCAAAGAGTCAGATATGCTGTTCTTGTGTTGGACCAAATGTCAACATTACTATCAGGGTGAGACAATTTATGTCTGTCAAATATACATATTTATCAAAGAGTCAGATATGCTGTTCTTGTGTTGGACCACTGTTCCATGTGTGAGTCTGATTGCTGAGAAGCTGTTCTTGTGTTGCACCACTCCTCCATGTGTGAGTCTGATTGCTGAGAAGCTGTTCCTGTGATGGACCACTCTACCATGTGTGAGTCTGATTGTTCTGATGCTGTTCCTGTGATGGACGGACCACTCTTCAATGTGTGAGTCTGATTGCGGAGAAGCTGTTCTTGTGTTGGACCACTCCTTGTTTGAGTCTGATTGCTGATAAGCTGTTCTTGTGTTGGACCACTGTTCAATGTGTGATTCTGATTGTTCTGATGCTGTTCCTGTGTTGGACCACTCTTCCATGTGTGAGTCTGATTGCTGGTAAGCTGTTCTTGTGTTGGACCACTGTTCAATGTGTGAGTCTGATTGCTGAGAAGCTGTTTTTGTGTTGTACCACTCCTCCATGTGTGAGTATGATTGCTGAGAAGCTGTTCCTGTGTTGGACCACTCTTCAATGTGTGATTGTGATTGCTGAGAAGCTGTTCCTGTGTTGTACCACTCCTCCATGTGTGAGTCTGATTGCTGAGAAGCTGTTCTTGTGTTGGACCACTCCTCCATGTGTGAGTCTGATTGCTGAGAAGCTGTTCCTGTGTTGGAACACTCATCCATGTGTGAGTCTGATTGCAGAGAAGCTGTTCCTGTGTTGGACCACTCCTCCATGTGTGAGTCTGATTGCTGAGAAGCTGTTCTTGTGTTGGACCACTCTTCCATGTGTGAGTGTGATTGCTGAGAAGCTGTTCTTGTGTTGGACCACTGTTCCATGTGTGAGTCTGATTGCTGAGAAGCTGTTCTTGTGTTGGACCACTCTTCCATATGTGAGTCTGATTGTTCTGATGCTGTTCTTGTGTTGGACCACTCTTCCATGTGTGAGTCTGATTGTTGAGATGCTGTTCTTGTGTTGGACCACTCTTCCATGTGTGAGTCTGGTTGTTCAGATGCTGTTCCTGTAATGGACCACTCTTCCATGTGTGAGTCTAATTGTTCAGATACTGTTCTTGTGTTGGACCACTGTTCCATGTGTGAGTCTGATTGTTCAGATACTGTTCCTGTGTTGCACCACTCCCCCATGTGTGAGTCTGATTGTTCAGATGCTGTTCCTGTGTTGCACCACTCCCCCGTGTGTGAGTCTGATTGTTCCAATGCTGTTCCTGTGTTGGACCACTCCCCCATGTGTGAGTCTGATTGTTGAGAAGCTGTTCTTGTGTTGGACCACTCCCCCATGTGTGAGTCTGATTGTTCTGATGCTGTTCCTGTGTTGGACCACTCCCCCATGTGTGAGTCTGATTGTTCTGATGCTGTTCCTGTGTTGGACCACTCCCCCGTGTGTGAGTCTGATTGTTCAGATACTGTTCCTGTGTTGGACCACTCCCCCATGTGTGAGTCTGATTGTTCTGATGCTGTTCCTGTGTTGGACCACTCCCCCATGTGTGAGTCTGATTGTTCAGATACTGTTCCTGTGTTGGACCACTCCCCCATGTGTGAGTCTGATTGTTGAGATGCTGTTCCTGTGATGGACCACTCCCCCATGTGTGAGTCTGATTGTTCAGATGCTGTTCCTGTGTTGGACCACTCCCCCATGTGTGAGTCTGATTGTTCAGATGCTGTTCCTGTGTTGCACCACTCCCCCATGTGTGAGTCTGATTGTTCTGATGCTGTTCTTGTGTTGGACCACTCTTCCATGTGTGAGTCTGATTGTTCAGATGCTGTTCTTGTGTTGGACCACTCTTCCATGTGTGAGTCTGATTGTTCAGATGCTGTTCTTGTGTTGGACCACTCTTCCATGTGTGAGTCTGATTGTTCTGATACTGTTCCTGTGTTGGACCACTCTTCCATGTGTGAGTCTGATTGTTCAGATGCTGTTCCTGTGATGGACCACTCCCCCATGTGTGAGTCTGATTGTTGAGAAGCTGTTCCTGTGTTGGACCACTCTTCCATGTGTGAGTCTGATTGTTCAGATGCTGTTCTTGTGTTGGACCACTCCCCCATGTGTGAGTCTGATTGTTCTGATACTGTTCCTGTGTTGGACCACTCTTCCATGTGTGAGTCTGATTGTTGAGATGCTGTTCCTGTGATGGACCACTCCCCCATGTGTGAGTCTGATTGTTCAGATGCTGTTCCTGTGTTGGACCACTCCCCCATGTGTGAGTCTGATCGGTCTAATGCTGTTCCTGTGGTGGATCACTATTCCATGTGTGAATCTGATTGTTCTGATGCTTTTCCTGTGTTGGGCCACACGATATGTGTGAGTCTGCTATTTCTGCTAACGTAACATATACTTCTCATGTACGCGAGATGGGTGCTCTCCACGGTACTAACTGAAGTGCACAGAGGACCAACTTGATTGTGTGTAAACACGGCCCTTGGGGCCCTGGCGTCCCGTAAAATCCCAAGCATTGTGGATACTTGACAGTCGTGAATATACAGGTTTCCCGGGAGAGCAGAAACACCACGCCCAGGGGGTTGTTTACAATGGACATATACAAATTACGTAGAACAATTCATCGTATTTGAAAAAATTATTTATTTCATTGGAATGTCATGTCTAATTTTAGAAAAATTGAAGTATTCATCTTTGCAGTAAGTTCTGGAACATTTTGAAACTATTATGACCCATATGATACCGCCATTAAAACTTTCTTCCTCAAGAGTAATCATGCGACATCCATAAAGTCATTTGCATATTTTCCGGAAGTGACATATGGTGTAACTTCATCCAGTAAATACAGCAGACCGCACGCATCTTAGAAAGCGGCAAAAAATTATTGTTATCGTGTATCCAAATGAATAGAAGTCTCAGATATTTTGGTTAAAAACATGATGATATTACTGATCTCAATTTGGAAATTCATCAATATTTTTTAAACTATTAAACGAGTTGCGAACGTCTGCCACATTATATGCGACAGAATTGAAGATTAAACATCAATCAACTGACAGGGGTCTTCCCCTTACCCAACTATTGTTTCAGTAGAAGAAATGTCTGGGGTGTGATAATCCCTTTAATCCCTCATTATGTTCCCTGTGAAATAGTATCCGGGACCAAATATGATCAAATATCAACTACTTTAGACTCAATGTTTATCTTTATTTATTATATATATTATAATGACTATATAAGTTACAGTGAATATGTAAAACCAGGGATTATGTATAATCTCTGAAATTTTCAGTGATTATGTATAATGTCTGATTCACTCAGTGATTATACATGATCACTGAAAAATAGACTAGAATATTTAGATATATATATTCCCTAAAATTGCTCCTTGTGTAGTTTGAAGAAGATTTCATCCAAAAAGGTGTGGAATCAGTTTCAGTAATTTTGGTAACTGTATTAAAAAATTCCTTCTTATTGATCATAAGAGAATTTGAGATTGACTCATTTAAGGGCATTTAACACTGCATCAATACCTAGCTGAGAGACCTCCTTCAGACCGGCCAGCACCAGATGCCACACCAGTTACTGTAGCTGTTCCAGATCCCTCAGCAGTTCACGCAGTTATAATTCAATTTGCAGCAAATCATATGAATATAGTTCACTAACTTCAAATTTAATTGTTAGCAAGTAGTATGATTATCAGTTCATCTTGTGAAATATGTTCATTGGTGGTCATGAAATAGGTTCATATACATACACATACACATAATGTTATGGAGAGAGTGTCAGCTAACCTTTGAGCGACCTATGAGCGTCCAATCAAACGCGACACAGACGAACGGATTTAACCAATCAGACAACGACAACTTGTTAGGGTTCGGCGGGACTTACAAAACGGTTTTTGAATTTTCTCTTCCTTGGTTGCTGACACTGATCTATCAACAAACGAAAATCTGCATAAAACACATGTATTTTACCTGAAGTACATATGCTTATTTATTACCCACGTGATCAACGTATGGGTAGTTGCATATTAATCTTGTATGTCACACGAGTGTTGTATCGCGTTGACCTGTGTCATAACGACTTGACCTGAAATTCTAACGATTTGATTGGATAACCGATGACCTCTCAATTAGGTCACATTCTGAAATAACTATTTTTTCATTCATAACAAACACGTGAATTCATTCATTCTACGACTTAAATGCATTGTGGGAATGTAAACATTGCGAACGTTGCCTTGTCGCTGTTTAATTGTGAGTCAAACTGAGACTTTCTATCTGTCGAAAAACATAAACGCAATGTTTCCACCAGTGATGTTAGCCGAATGAAGCAGCTGGAAACCAAGAAACGAGGTGCAACGGAGTAGTTTACTGTAGGAGGCTGTACGAGGCGATGACAACTGACAAGCATCGTGACGTCGGTTACCATGGCTGTGACGTCATTAGTGTGACGTCATGCATATATTGTACTACAGTACAAAACTCTTCCGCAACCTCTTTATGAAACCGGTTTCGGTTTGAAACCAAAAACATATAAAAAATACGCTATTTTGTCAATTTAAATGGATGTTAGACGTGGGTAATAAATAAAATACCACACTCGGTCTCATTACATACGAGACCTCGTGTAGTATTCTCTATGGACCATGGTTACTATTTGCTTCTATATTCGCAAGATGACATTCTTGAATATTGACAAAAGCGCTGTTTTCAGCGACTGTTTACTCATTGCGTGTATCACTCGGAAGCGATCGTGCAGGAAATAGCATTCGGAATCGTTCGGGATTTTGAGGTAAAGGTTCAAACGGTATGTGCGAATGTTAACTTTCGGGATTTGGTAAGCTGTGTTCTGATTGGTCAGTCCAAAAGATTAGCTGACGCGACCTTCTATAAGGTTTTGTTAGACTCAGTATAGCAGTGTAGCGAATAATACTGAGCCTACGTTTACTTAGACTGCTCCCCTAAATGACTTGCTTCCCAAGTCACTTCTACGCGAAACGGTTCGTGCAGTTTGAAGAAAGTAAACATGTTTCAACACAATAACAAACAAGTGTGCATTGGTGTGCCTCGAAAGCTGCTTATATATCCTGAACATCATTGAAAACGCACCACCTGTAAATTTCGAAATATGGTAATAGGATTGTTTTGAGAGTGAAACTGAACATCGGAAATGTTGTTAATAACACAAAAGACAATAAATAATGCTGTACAGTAAAGAACGGATTGCCCTAACACATCACGGAACACATCACATGACAACAACAAAATTCATGCACCACACACACGAACAGCACAAATTGCACGTGTAAAACATACTGATTAGGGGTATAAATGACCGTCGGCAAAAAAACGTTCTCATTTTAGCTGTACCTCCACAAGTAAAATTTTGCAATGCCAAGATTGTCACCAGAGGAACGAGAACGGGCATTGGGCATGTTGCAGGTTGGCACATCAAGCAGGATTATTGCAAGACGATTGGGTTGCCATCATTCCTACATCATAAGACTTGCCAACAGGTACCAACAAACAGAAACCACCAGGGACCGCCAACTTCCTGGCCAGGCACTTGTTACCTCGCCAAGATCGAGACATTGTTCGGCGCCATATTCGGAATTGTACGTTGCCGGCTGCCAGAACCGCCAATGTTGTCCAAGGCCGACGTGGTTTGATCGGTGCTTCAACCGTCCGAAGCCGTCTCCGTGCGGCATGATTACCGTGTCGACGCCGTTATGTTGGACCCATCCTGACTGATAGACATTGCTGTGAACGCCGACGATGGGCTGAACAGCATCGTTTGTGATTGTTACGACGTTGGCATGGTGTTGTGTTCTCCGAAGAGTCACATTTTCACGGGGAGAACGTTACCATCAGGACTGTGTTGTGCAAACAGATCAGTGGGGTGGAGGCAGCATTATGGTGTTGGGAGGGATCAGTTATCACAAAACCGCTCTGGTAGTTTGTCATGGCAGAGTGAATGCCCTTTACTACCGTGACACCATTCTTCAGAACAGCGTCGTTCCCTTCTTTAACCAACATCAAGATCTGCACACATTCGAGCAGGACAATGCTCGAGCGCACACTGCACGTGTTTCTGGCAAACAACAACATTCCTCTACTTCCATGGCCTGCATTGTCACCAGATTTGTCTCCTATTGAACACTTGTGGGATTCATCGGCCAACGCCTCTCACGTCGCCCAACAACCTTGGGAACTTGAGAATGCCTTGCAACAAGAGTGGAATGCATTGCCTCAAAACGTTATTCCGAGACTTATCAGTTCAATGAGATGTTGCACAGCTTGTGTTGCTACTAACGGTGGTCATACACGTTACTGACTTTCCAATTTGACTCCATCTTTCTTTCATTGTCAGCTGAATTAAAACTTCACTGTTTTGCTGGATTGGTCCTTGTTTCTTTTCTTGACCAATCATTGGACTACAAAAGTATGTAAAATTTGTACCGATTGCTCATTTATGCTCCTGGAAATCCAAACCAATACAGGTGGTGCATTTTCAATGATGTTCAGTATAATTTGAAGCTACGGTGAATGAGCTTTCAGAAAATACTAATGTAAGTTTCTGAAAAATATGCATTTAGGTCAAATTTTGCATAACTTTTGCACATTTGTGTCAAAATTTGACGATTTAATGTTTTCTTTTTACATCTTCATGCATATCAATCAATAACTTGAACAACTATCAATGAATGTAGCAAATTTTGGTTAATTAATTCTTATATAACACTTTTAGACACGTTTTTGTGTGACATGCAGAATTTCCCTGTCTGTGATCAGGCAGTCATGCGAATCAGTGACCCCCTCTTAGGTAGTCACTTGTACGCGTAACAGGGGATAGTCTCGCGTACATGTTACGTCCTCTACTGCTTGCTTAGATAGTGTCGATAAGGGCGGTGGGGTAGCTGAGTGGTTAAGGTGTTCGCTCGTCACGCTGAAGATCTGGGTTTGATTCCCCACATGGGTACAATATCTGAATCCCGTTCCAGGTGTTTCCCTTGATATTGATGGAATGTTGCTAAAAGCAGCGTAAAACTAAATTCACCCACTCACTCGAGTATGATAACAAATTCTCTGAGCCAGACCACTCAGTCCATTATGTCACCTGTTATGTGGATTTTTTCAGATGGCCGAGAACAGCTACAATTTCACATATGACCAGTACAAACAAGATGATAAGGTAGACCTTGTTGTCGTCCCGACAGGTGGAGAACTGGAATGCCGTGTCACCGGGCCAGCCGCCCAGTGTTACTCCAAGCCGAACAGGACCACAATATGTACCAGTAAGTGGCTAAGTGTAGACACTAGGGCTGTATCCGGCTAGCCAAGGGGTTAAAGCATTCACTACTCACGCTGATGTTTACCCTGACATAACCCATTTGACGTTCACCCTGATGTTTGCTACGGTGTAACACCAGACGTTCACCCTGCTAGGGCTTCACCCAGACGTTCACCCTGATGTTCACCCTGATGTTTAGTTGTCCCATGTTCATAACCTTCACCCTGACGTTCACCCTGATGTTTCACCCAAATGTTCACCCCTGACGTTCACCGCCTCCCGTGACGTTCACCCGCCCGAAGGTTGCGTTCCCCGACCGCGTCATACCAAAAGACTTTGGGGCCAGACGTTTACCCCTGACGTTTACCCAAGAAGTTCACCCTGACGTTCACCCAGACGTTCACCCTGATGTTTACCCCTGATGTTTACCCTGACGTTCACCCTGACGTTTACCGAAATATTCAGACGTTCACCCTGACGTTCACCCAGACGTTCACCCTGATGTTTACCCTGACGTTCACCCAGACGTTTACCCTGACGTTTACCCAGACGTTCACCCTGATGTTCACCCAGACGTTCAACCTGATGTTTACCCTGATGTTTACCCTGACGTTCACCCTGACGTTCACCCAGACGTTTACCCTGACGTTTACCCTGATGTTTACCCTGACGTTCACCCTGACGTTCACCCAGACGTTCACCCTGACGTTCACCCAGACGTTCACCCTGACGTTTACCCTGACGTTCACCCAGACGTTTACCCTGACGTTTACCCAGACGTTCACCCTGACGTTTACCCAGACGTTCACCCTGATGTTTACCCTGATGTTTACCCTGACGTTCACCCTGACGTTCACCCTGACGTTCCCCTGACGTTTACCCTGACGTTTACCCAGACGTTCACCCACCCAGATGTTCACCCTGACGTTCACCCAGACGTTTACCCTGACGTTCACCCAGACGTTTACCCTGACGTTCACCCTGATGTTTACCCTGATGTTTTACCCTGACGTTCACCCTGACGTTCACCCAGACGTTCACCCTGACGTTCACCCAGACGTTCACCCTGATGTTTACCCTTGTTCACCCTGATGTTTTACCCTGACGTTCACCCCTGACGTTCACCCAGACGTTCACCCTGACGTTCACCCAGACGTTCACCCTGACAGTTTACCCCTGATGTTCACCCAAACGTTTACCCTGACGTTTACCCTGACGTTCACCCTGATGTTCACCCCTGACGTTCACCCTGACGTTCACCCAGACGTTCACCCTGACGTTTACCCAGACGTTCACCCTGACGTTTACCCTGACGTTCACCCTGACGTTTACCCTGACGTTTACCCAGACGTTCACCCTGACGTTTACCCAGACGTTCACCCTGATGTTTACCCTGATGTTTACCCTGACGTTCACCCAGACGTTCACCCAGACGTTCACCCTGACGTTTACCCTGACGTTTACCCAGACGTTCACCCTGACGTTCACCCTGACGTTCACCCAGACGTTTACCCTGACGTTTACCCAGACGTTCACCCTGACGTTCACCCTGATGTTTACCCTGATGTTTACCCTGACGTTCACCCTGACGTTCACCCAGACGTTCACCCTGACGTTCACCCTGACGTTCACCCAGACGTTCACCCTGATGTTTACCCTGACGTTCACCCTGACGTTCACCCAGACGTTCACCCTGACGTTCACCCAGACGTTCACCCTGATGTTTACCCTGATGTTCACCCTGACGTTTACCCTGACGTTTACCCTGACGTTCACCCTGACGTTCACCCTGACGTTCACCCTGATGTTCACCCTGATGTTCACCCAGACGTTCACCCAGACGTTTACCCTGATGTTCACCCTGACGTTCACCCTGACGTTCACCCTGATGTTTACCCTGACGTTCACCCTGACGTTCACCCTGACGTTCACCCTGATGTTCACCCTGATGTTCACCCTGATGTTCACCCAGACGTTCACCCTGACGTTCACCCTGATGTTTACCCTGACGTTCACCCTGACGTTCACCCTGACGTTCACCCTGACGTTTACCCTGATGTTCACCCTGACGGTCACCCTGACGTTCACCCTGACGTTCACCCAGACGTTCACCCTGATGTTCACCCTGATGTTCACCCAGACGTTCACCCTGATGTTCACCCAGACGTTTACCCTGACGTTCACCCTGACGTTCACCCAGACGTTCACCCTGATGTTCACCCAGACGTTAACCCAGACGTTCACCCTGACGTTCACCCAGACGTTCACCCTGATGTTCACCCAACTGTGAGATGATGACAAAAGAGAGAATATGTGGAGGGGGAAGGGGGGGAGAGGCAGAGAGGGGGTACTTTCAGTACAACCCAGGGTTTGTCGTTATCCCCCCTGTATCAGTTGTCTCACAGAGATGGGGGCAGTTTACAGGAGCTTGGAGGAATCTTTTCTTATTGTTTAACAACAGCAGAGATGCCATCCCTCCTGAATTTAGCGGAATCATCCGGAAAAAAGCATGTCCATTCCGACAAAGCCAAATTCATTTTCAAAGTATAGCAAAGATAAAGTCTTACTTACTGGAGGGCTAGGATCATCTTTGACTATAAATAATGATAATTAAGTAAATATAACACTTTATTTACAGAAGTTCTCATTGTTTACACAAGAAAGTAATCTGGAGTTGAGTAGGCTGCCTGATAAATTCCATGCACTGTATATTTCATCCACATAACGTTCAGAAACACTGCTGCTGAGTACTGCAAACCGGTTTCAGTTGTATAAGGATTGCTATGTGTAGTGGCATTGAAAACTTCCGTGCCTTGAGTGCAACAACTTTTGTATCCCTAATTTGTTGGGAAAATTCCTAATTTTTGCTATCTTAGGGAACACCAATTTGTCATCTCTGCAACGGCACTTTGGTCAGTTATACAGAGGTTACTGTACTGTTAGTCAAATCTTATCCTTACGGACTCACATATGTCTGAAGATCGGCCTGAGATGCAGAGTACTAGAGAGTGCAATCTGTAAAGATCTGGGTTAGAATTGATCTTCAGTAACCCATGCTTGTCATAAGAGGCGACTAATAAGATTGGGCGGTCATAGTACCTCAAATGGGTAGATCGGTGCTCATGCTGTTAATCACTGGATAGCCTGGTTCAGACTTGATTATTTACAGACTGCCGACACATATAGCTGGAATGTTGCTGAGTGCGGTGTGACAGAACGACAAACAAACACACAAATCCTTGTATTCCAGCTAAATCTCTAATCTGGATTTCCCAAAATGGGTTCAGACTGCAGGGAGGTTTAACGATCTCCTTCAAATGTGTGTAATCATGTGACCAGTTACGTGACTTTGTCGCTACCTTCAGTCTTGCTCAGTGTAAAGTGCTTCAATATGGAGGAGTGAGACAGATATATCATCAATATTAAAACCCAAGTTCAAACAAGCCCTAGAATATGCCGAGCTCCTGATGACGTCACCTTACAATGGGCTTGATAATGGCCCGTTGTCATGCAATTCGGGGGCATTATCAAGTTACAGTGGCCCCTTCATTTCTGAAAACATTTGGGCGTTTTAATGATAATTCTGTACATTTTATGTATAAAAATATAGATTTCATTTTTTTCATGTCCAGGTTCAAGTCCAACGGTTCCTACGTGGGGCTTCGCTATCATTGTCCTTCTGATAGAGATCTTCATCTACCTTTTGGTAGATTAGATCTACTGTGGGTGCAGGCCAAGCTGATGTCCAGGAAAGCTGATGTAACAACTGCAGGGTATGTATAGCATCAGTCTTCCTGCAAACTTACGGTATGAACCTGTACCACAAACCAACTCACATGCTACAATGGCCATAAGTGCTTGTCAAACTAAACTCAACAAAATGCAGCTTTAACAAAACTTGACATATATTAAAATGTTTAAAATATTTGTGTTGAAGTGCTCCCTGTGGGTAGGAATCCATGCTAGAATTGTCCTTTGCTTTTCATTAAAGGCGACTAGACTGACTGACTGAGTTTAGTTTTACGCCGCTTTTAGCAATATTCCAGCAATATCACGGAGGGAAAAGGCGACTAGATGAATCAGGTTGTTGGTTGATCACATGTCACCACATGTGAGGATCGATACTCATGATGACCATCACTGGCTTGTCTGGTCCTGACTTGATTATTTACACAATGACATCACTGGCTTGTCTGGTCCTGACTTGATTATTTACACAATGACATCACTAGCTTGTCTGGTCCTGACTTGATTATTTACACAATGACCATGACTGGCTTGTCTGGTCCTGACTTGATTATTTACACAATGACATCACTGGCTTGTCTGGTCCTGACTTGATTATTTACATAATGACCATGACTGGCGTGTCTGGTCCTGACTTGATTATTTACACAGCATCGGTCTCATTCACTCATATCTCGTTGTTGTTTAACAGCAATATTCTCGTCATGTGATGTTGCCTGGAAATCATCAGAGTAGGTGTTGTAGGACCCACTCCACAAACTGATTGGAGTGCTGAAAGTGTCATGATTCCAGTACTCTGTCATAAACTCTCTATCATCTCAGTGCTAAGATCATATCATGGAATGGGCCCCAGTCAACCAGCATCTGAATACATCTCCAGGGCTCTGTTATTTCAATGCAGCAAGTGTCATAAGTCTCGCACACTTTCACAGACTCATGATTGTCTTAGCGTTACGATCATAATATGGAATGGGCCCCAGGCAACCAGCATCAGAGTAGATCTCCAGCCCCAGTCACCTCACTGCTGCAAGTGTCATAGACCCATGATTGTCTTAGCGCTAAGATGGTATAGACCGATCCAGTCCCGGCCGATAAGGCCCTGCCCACTTCGTTTTTGACGTTAGGGGGGACAACCACTGTCTAATCACAATGGTGTCACCGCCGGCGAAACGTATGTGATTGCAAACGTTGTTGATGAATTCTGCTTGTGGTACTTTGGTATCTTCCGTTTGTGAATGATATTAAAAGAGGAAAGTTATATGTACTATATTTTTAATATATTTTAGTTGACAGATTGCAATTGGCGAGTGAAAATGAGTTACATGCCCGATGATAAATCGCCTCAGCAAGCTGCTCAGAGTGGGAAGCGTATTTTCTTTCGAACCAAATAATGTATCTGGCAATATCACGTCCGTCTAAGATATTAGCAGGGGAAGTGTAACTGAATTATGTTGTTTGGTTGTATTTTTCTCTCAAAGATTCCCATCGTAATTTTATTAAAAACCGTGAACACAACCACATGTTCAAGTTGCAGATCGTGTCGGTATCTACACATGTATAAATAGATTGTCTACACCGCGCCTGCATTATTATCAATAATGTGAAAACTCTACCTTTTAATGAACAAAGCAGAAAATATATTTCCCGTCTACTACTACTAAAATTTCCCTCTTCAAAATCAGTACACCATCCAAAAATGACACTGAATATAAGGAACTCCATTTTTTCAATCACCCTTTCCAATTTATTTTTTTATGTGTACTTTGTTGTGGAATGCTAATTTACAAACTTTCACAGTACTACATTTCATGAACTGCCAGCATTTATGTACAGGTATGTCACAGCACCAGAACACAAAGAAGATCCAAGATACAGTCTGCACATGTACACTAGCAGACCCATCTTCCAGAAATAGGAAACCTGTGATGCAAAATCTTTGAACAGTGGATCGACAGTTATCCAAACAATTAACTAGGATTGAAATAGAATGTTACACAAAATACAATATATTGCTTTTTCTTCAAAGATATTCAACTGCTAACTACTAATGTAAGTAAAGTGCCAAGAAGATATCCCAAGTTCAAAGCATTTTGTCAATAAAATTACATACTGACATTATTGCTTCT